TTTTAATTGTGTTTTCATTGTACACAATTCAATTTTTCAAGTCCTCTCTCATTTTACGGTAGGTGGCAAGGAGAAACCATGCAGTCCCATTACTATCTTGCTTGATAATCGCATCAGCTAGATATCCAAGTTCATCACTTACAGACATATGAGCATAATTCAGACAAGGTTTTTGCTACTTCATAACAAAGCATCACCCATCTTCCCCCTCATCCAATATCACGTCCATCATTTTCTGTTAAAGCCTCACCAAAAACACATTGGATGTCCAGAGTTCCCGCAACACTCTTTTGCTGGCGCCATATATATTCTCTAAAACAGTAGAGACTTTCTTTACTTTCTTCTGCGCTCTCATCAGAATTCCTTATGCAGTCCATAATTCTAGTAACAGTTTCTTCAAGCCAAACTAGGCTTTCACTAGTAAGCACCTGCCTTGGTTATCTAGGGTTGTTATCCAGCAGAAATGCTACAGATGGATGGCTTTCACAAACAAATTTATTTATTTTCCTACAGTTTAGGAGGCTAGAAGTCTGAATCCAGGATGCTGGCTCTAGGGAAAGACTTTCTGTCTGTGTGTCTCCTGGTTCTCTGAATTTCCCAGTGCAGGGACCCTTGACCCACAGGATATAGTCTGTTCCTGCCTCTTCTTTATTGGTGGTAGTGGAGCCCTATGTCTGCTTGCTTGTTTATCTCTTTTATATACCTCAAAAGAGATTGACTCCAGCGACCATTTAAAACTGTAGAATGTGCCCTGTCTCATTAACTTAACTGCCTCATTAACATCATAGAAATTAGAATTTGCAACACATAGGTACGTTGCATCAGATTACAAGGACGATAATTACATAACACTGAAAAGTATGGTTTCACCGAATTGATTCTCCAAGTCCTAGTGTGGCACTGTGGGTTAATGCACTGGACTGCAAAGTTGTCTTGAATCACAACGTTGGTAGTTCAAGCTCACCAGCCACTCCTAGGAAATCCTATACAGGATCAGTATGGGTCGGAACCGACTCAACAGCACTTAACAACAACACGTTGATACTTATTTTGGGAGGACCAAATCCAATCTGTAATAGCATCTTAAAACTCTTCCAGCCTCTGCCCATTACCCAATTCCAAAGCTGTTTCCACAGTTTAGCTATCTGGTGCTGCTATGACAAAAAATACCATAAATCTGTGACATTAACAAACAGAAATGTATCTTCTCACAGTTTGTTGTTGTTGGAAAGTGCCATCGAGTCGATTCCGACCCATAGCAACCATGTATAGGGTTTTCAGTGAGCAGCTGATGAGTTTGAACCACCGACCTTTGCAATCAGACGCATTAGCCCACAGCGCCACACCAGGATTTTAGAAAGTTAGAAATCCAAATCCAGAATGCCCTAGGGGAAGGCATGCTCTCTTTGTGGACTCTGGAGAAAGATCTTCTGCTCCTGGACGACTTTCAAAAGTCAAGGTGGTACGGGGGTTAAGAGTTGGGCTGCTGGATGGCAGTGGGTTTGACGGTGGCCCTCGTGTGGCTTGGCATGTATGCCCTCTTCCTCTCATCCCTGCCTGCCTCTTACCTTTAGTCTTTTTTATAGGCTCATGTGACATCTTGCTCTAACCCTGCCTCATTACGTAGCATAGGAAAGACAGCTCATTCCCAAATGGGATTACAATCCAGGCAGGGTTTAGGATTTGCTACACATTCCATACAATTTCAATCAGTAACTGTATCTTCACGAAACTCAGCTTCTGTCTCCTTCAGATAATCAGTTTTGCTACAAAGTGACTAGTTGCTTTAAATGTTGTCCCTGTGGGCCTCCTAATTACAGATTAATGGCTGGGAAAGTGTATATGCTTTAGTGCCTCTGTTCCATTTATCACCTCTGCCTGCCATGAAGAGCAGGCTAATGCTTGGTTCATGTACCGATTCCTCATGAACACAATTAAGTGTTCTGGAACACTCTACTTCACAAGGTTGTCCATAGCTTGTCATGATCCACACAATTGAAAGATTTGTGTAGTCAATAAAGCACAGGTAAACACCTTTCTG